CATGATCATACCACATATCCGATTTAATAAATTATTATTATTATTATTATTATTTAAATAAATTAAATGACGTACCGGTTTCATTATGATCAAGGTGAGAACATACACTTGAGATTGTTTAGAAAATACAGATTAGTTTATTGTACATAAAAATATTTGATAGATAGTCAAAAACATAACCTTTGATCAAGTATCGTCTATTATTATCAAACACTTAGAAAATTGATTGAGATGGCTTTATTAACTCTATTTTTGACTAAAATATACTTATTTAATATTCGTAGCTCACTTATTGAAACATTTACGCTCGAGATAATTCTTTTATTTTCGTACTTGTATAGCGTTATTGTGCAAGGAAATGTTATGATTAGACATCAGAAACTTTGTGGCGACAATCAAGTAAGTAAACAGCAGTAATCTATATTAGCAAAAAATCTGGGTTGTTCATCGGCATGCCAGGCCGACAAGGACAGGCTGCCGTTAGATACGTATCGAATAAATTGATCGATGCGAAGTTTTAGGTCAGAAGGAGATATGTATTGTACAGTTGTTGTACAATGACTAATTTACAGTTTTCTAACGTCTTCTTCTTCTTCTTGTCCATGTGGTTAGGTTTTACTCAAGTTCCATAATAGCGTGTCTTTATCAGGCCTATTGTGCTTCCCACTATTCGAAAATTTTTATAAAGTTTAAAAGCTTCCTTGGCGACACTTCTCTCAGCTCCTTGGCTCCCAGGAAGGGGTTGTCTCAGGAGCGTTATTCTATGTGCAAATCCTGGACACTCACCCATGCAGGGTATGCAGAGGAGTTTCATCCGTCGAGTCACAACCTCAGCAGACCGGACTGTCAATTTGTGCTTTTATAGATGTTTCCTAAAATGACAGTGTTCCGTTATAAATCCCGTCATCTCCCTGAACCGAATTGTATTCAAGCTCAGCAACTCTATAACACAGTCTAACTGTATTAGTCGTAACCAATATCGCAATTTATCTTCATTTTTCTTTCAAGTTTATTTTAACTCTCCTAAAGTATTGTAGATGGTTTTGCACAATACTTTTGTAGTATATATGTACCAGATAATGCTAATATTTTTATACCTAATAATGCATTCAATAATCTGCCTTGTATTATTAACATTAATTAATTAATTGAGAGTACTGGGAAATAGTCTATTTTAGTAGGTTGAAAAACAAGTTTACTGCGGGTCATGATCTGGTGCCTAACTTCTTGGTGAAAGATTGCTCGGGAGTCTTTATTGTTCCATTCTTGATCATTTTAATTTCTCTCTGTGTACTTCTCAATTTCCTACTTGTTGGAAGTTAAGAAGAATCTGTCAGGTGCTAAAGGGCGGAGATCCAACTAATAACTAATACTTCAAATTACAGACCTATTTCAATTCTTATCAATTTTGCTAAGGTTTTGGAGATCTCTGCATATATATGAATCTGTAAAAAACTTACTCTCTCCGTAGCAACATGGATTGTTGAAAAAACGTTCGTTTGGCATTAATTACCCAAGATTTATGTAAACCATTTGATTCTACGGGCCAGATTGATGTGGTGTACACAGATTTCTCCTAGGCATTTGGCACCATTAGTCATAATATATTGTCGGCCAAATTGAAGGAATTTGGTGTCTTCTCATATTCGGTACAATTTTTTAGAATGTACTTAATAGATAGGTCTTATTACGTTGCACATGGTGTGTTTGTGTCTCGGTCTTTCTTAGCTGTATTGGGAGTTCCGCAAGGGTCAAATTTTAGACCTCTGTTGTTTCTGCTTTTTATTAACGGACTCATGAACTGCCTTGATTGTCAAAGGCTGCTTTATGCAGATGACCTTAAAAGTTATTGTAATATATATAGTATTACGGATTGTCTGCATTTGCAGTTTCAAAACGATATACTAGCAAATTGGTGCAGGTTATTTTCGCTTAAATTAAATGTTACTAAATGTAAAGTGATTAGTTTCTCCAGAAAGTCCTATTTTATTTATATTATACATTGACTGATGTCATCTTGTAGAGGCTACCTAAGTGCCTTAAGACTTGGGAATATAATATTTCGACCGTGAATTAAATTTCTCGTAACACAAAATCGTGGAGTAAAGTACTAGAAGTAGTAGAAATTGTAAATGCTTCACAAATGAGGCAGCGTTAAAATCATTGTATTTTTCTTTAGTGCGTACTAAGTTGGAGTATGGGTCACTGTTAGGATTACCGATTTATGAAAATCTATCTCTTATTTTAGAATCGATTCAACGCAGATTTTTAAAATATCTTTCTTTTAAAATTAATGGTATATATCCTGGCCAAGGTGGCCATCATGAATTACTGTTGTCGACCTTTGATATATCCTCATAAGGATATATCAAAGGATAGGCGTATAAGAAGTAGTATTATATTCAAACTATTTAATAATAGTGTCAAATTCAAAGAAAATTAATAATTATTTTAACAGTAAATTTCAATTATTTCATTCGCGCATTTATTCAATTAATTCGTTGGCATTATTTCATATTAAAAATTTATGACTAAACAAAAAAGACAGTTCGACGACTAGGTGATTGCGAAATCACCGGACCACCGACCGGGCGGTAAACTTAAATTGGGTCAGCCACGGCGGTACCTATGGTAATCCTGCAAACGCGGCGGTTTTGAAAAAAGCGGTGGCGCGCTCGTTGAACTGTCTTGGACAGTCGATTTTTGGAAGTGAAGTAGAAGACATCTCTCCCCCGAAATGCAAAGGGTTGGGCTAATAATGTAAGTAGTAGTTCTAGTTTATTGTAGGTAGTGTAGTTTCAATTGTTTGGCAAACCAATTCCAAAATTTAGTAATAAATGTTTTATTATAAACTCGTCATTTAACTACCATCTACTACCCCCTAGCGTGCGTCTACGACCAAGTGGGCTGTAGGCGTAACAATAT